ACTTAACAACTATCTTGTTACCCAACATTTCATACTTACAACAGTAGTAAAAAATCTACTGACAATTTTACAATTTTACGCATTAACAACATACATCTGGCAGGAATGAACAAAGCACCAAGGTATAAAGCTAGAGTAATGCTTACTGTGAAGGTTAAAGTTATGCATCAATTTGGCTGGGACAGGATTCTCAGTCGTTTGGGAGTTATGTAGTGATATAAGTTGGCAGTTACGCAATGATGCAATTTGGCAGTGACATGATGCTGTCAACCTCCGTTTTGTGATCTGCTGTGGTCATCCTCCGTTTTCACGTAACCCTGATTTTGGCATTACAACCTGGTCTTTGGAACCTAATCATGTCAGTGAGTGAGAAGTGGGAGTATTCTTTAACCAACAGGATCACGGACTATTAAGGATGACAAAAACCCCTGACTTATGATTGAAGAAACTGATACCCCTAGAGATAAAATGACCAGTTCCACTTTATACAACCTTCTCAATTGTAGAGACAAGATATTCAATTTCCAACAACCATTTTTGGTGTATCTCTACCATATTTATTAATTATTAGTTAGCATTATTATTCTCTCACAGGAGGCATTATTACTTTCTAAAACCCTGATTTCTCAACCGGGTGAACCTGGCATTACAGTATGTACTTAAACATTAAGCATTCACCACAGCTTACAAACTTTAGAATAGCTACAAAAATTGTTTTATACAGTGAAACCGAAGAGAATTACGGATCCAAACAAGAACCCAGGACCACCAGTAACAACAAACAAAAAACAGGTCAAGACGTTCTATTCAGTGAAATTATCTATTCCACATTGCACATAAGAGTTTCTAACACAACTCTGAAATGACAGTTAAGCCAATGACAACCACAAATTTTCAAATCTGATTAAATATGAATATTGTTGTTGTTATTTGCCATCAAGTCGGCCCCAACTCCTAGCGACCCCTCCTTGGGTTTCCGAGGCAATTATCAGTACGGAAGTAGGATTGCCCAACTTTCCTTCCGAGGAGTGGCTGGTGGGTTTGAACCACCAGCCTCCTGGTTAGCAGTCAAGTGCCTTAGGCACTATGCTACCAGAGCTCCTAATAGGTATATTAGATTCAACAATCAAAATAAAAGAACGCTTTTCATATACAATTTCTTATATAGAAAAACACTATTCATTTCAAAATAGATTACACTTTGCTAGGGTAGGAAAGAACTAACCAGAAGACAGAATATTAGCTCAAAAAAATTCACCATTAACAATTTTCTGTATCTATGGACAACCGATTTTTGACAAGGGTGCTATGTTCACTCAATTGGGAAGGAACAGTCTCTTCAATAAACAGTGCTGGCAAACGTGATTTCCACATGCAGAAAAATTAAGCAAAATCCATACTTCACACCATATACAAAAACTAATTCAGAATGGATCAAGGACTTAAATGTTAAAGCCAAGGCCATAAAGTTCTTGGAAGGAAACAATTTTCTCTTCTGTAAGAATTTTAATTTTATTAGTAGTAAACTGTGGCATTAAAAGCTTACTGGTAACAAAAGTTGACTTACTAACACAAGCTTTAGAAAACAAAGAACTGGAGCCAATCTTCCTATCACTGTGTTCCTCTAACTATAAGATGGGAAAGGGGAAAAGTACCAAATAAGTAACAAAAGAAACAGGTTACAGAGTCTTCCTTTGCACACTTATTGGTGAGATAATGGAAATATTCAATTTCTTGTATAGAAAAACACCACTCATTTCAAAATAGATTATGCTTTGCATAATGCCTAAGGTACTTGACTACTAACCAGAAAGCTGGCGGTTCAAACCCACCAGCCACTCCTCGGAAGGAAGGTTGGGCAATCTACTTCCATAGTGATACTGCCTCAGAAACCCAAGGAGGGGTCATTATGAGTCAAGTCCGACTCGACGGCACATAACAAGTGTAGGAAAGGTAGCTCTGGTGACATAATGCCTATGGCATTTGACTGCTAACCAGAAGGCTGGCGGTTCAAACCCGCCAGCCACTCCTCAGAAGGAAGACTGGGCAATCTACTTCCGTAGAGACACTGCCTCAGAAACCCCAGGAGGGGTTGCTATGAGTCAAATCGACTCAACGGCAGTGAGTTTGGTTTGTTTTGGTTTAGAGCAGGAAAAAACCAAGCAGAGGTAAGACAGAATAAATACCCCTCTCTCTTACCTTATTCTCTGACTGCTAAATTCTAAAAGAAACCCGTGACAGCTCAGCATAAACCCAGTGCCACAGAATACAGGAAGACACTGTGACAACAGAGCCTAAGTTAAAGGCATAGTGCTGTACTCTAGCCTTTGTTTTGTAACACTGATGAATTTCTTTCCTTCATCATAAACATATTGGGTATTTTAATTACTAAGTTATGTCATACTCCATTGATGTAGTTTAATCTACGAACTGAATCAGTATTTTAGGGCTACAGTGCTCAATCTACCTCATTCACTATTTGTGAGGGATGACAGAATTGAATCTTCCCTGGACTACGTAAGAAGTATCATGTGATCCTAGCCCCAACCATCAGCTTTTAAAGCTAAATAGGATCAAATTAAGATACTGTTCATAAGTGAAAATCTGACTTAAAACGATGTATTGTCAATTTCTTCCATTCACATACCTTTAGCAGAGATAACATTTAAAAACAAAATAAAAAGAAAAGCTTTCTGTTAAGTTTTGCATCTACCTGTTTGCTCAAACTCTGCTCAAAACTCAGGAAGGTGGAAAGAAAAAAACCATTAATAACCATATCCTCAATTTCATATTATTCCAAATTTGTACTTATGGGAAGAACTTTTAAGTCTAAATTCCTTTTTAAAAAAAAAAAAAAAAAACTGTCATGAAACAAACAGTGAACCGTTTCTACTCCAAAATCAAAGCCTCTCCTTCCCTTAGATTTTAAGTTAAATGAGACCACACCCAAAAATCAAGAGGAAATAGTAAAGTCCCACAGTTTTCAGCCATCTCTAAAAACATATCCCAACTGCTCAGATCGGCCAAAGAGGGCTGAAATTAACTTCACACCAGGTAGATTCCTTTCCAGGTTAAAACAAATACAAAATAAGAAATTTGGAACTGTTAATATCAAAGATCCAATCAACTGGCTATAAGACTATGTACCAGAACATTTATAATGTTTTCTTTTAGAATGGTAGGTCTCTACCAAGTTTATGCTTTTTCATGTTCCATCAAAAAGTGGAAAAGAAGGGAAATTTAAAAAAAAACGTGCAAGGGCAGTTCAAAGTATTTCCCACTATGTTAGCTGTTTCAAAGAAGAGTACAACTCCAAAGAATTCAAGTTCATTCCTAACAACACAGAGATAAACATTAAAACTTAAGAGAATGCTAAAAATCTGATTTCCATGGTTGCCCTCAAATAAGCCCTTTTCCTTAGTCACAACCAACATAAGCAAAAGCTTTCAAAATTAACATAACCAAAATGGACCAAAAACCAACTAAACTTACTAAAAGATTTGTGGAAGTTGACTTTTAAAAACCCTATGTGGGGGAAATGGTGGCAAGTGTAATGTTCTGAGTATTAAAGCAAAGATGGACTTGACCTACAAAAAGAAGATAGGGTCAACTGTACAGTAACTAAAAACAGTATGCTTCCCCTGGTGGCCAAGGAAGGAACGGAAAAACCAGCAGAGTTGAGAAAAAGCCTGGCCTCCTAGTTCTATGCTGTCACTCTTACAGAAGTGACGACCAAAAAATGAAGATGTGGGGGAAGGGGTAACTATCAAAAGGGCCTAACATGAGTTTAAAACAAATACAAATCTGGGTGCTAAACGATATGTATTTCAGAGATTTTAATCAACAGACCAAAATTTAAAAAGCATATTTGGAAAAAGTCATTTCTTTCCAGAATGCTCAAGAACTCACTCAGGGATTCCCATGTATTTTCACTTCAAAGAACACCCAAAGTTCAGTACCTTAGCAACAGCTCAAAAGGCAGCATCTTTTTCAGGGACTAGATCCTTGCAGTTTTCTGCAGTGTTATTTGCAAAGAAAAGCATTTAGGTATTTCTTTCTTTCAAATAAACTGTGGTATCGCCTGCATGGAAAACCTCCAGTTCTAAAGCCCTCCAACCAGGAGGGCTGTGAACTCCATTCCACAAGATTCTCTTCTGAATTTCATTTCTGAAATAAAATCCACGTCCTTTCAAACATTTTCTATACCAACAGCCTTTAGAGACGGTCTCATACAGAGCCGGGCTAGAATCTCACAGCATTTAAACCGATGAAGTCCTTTGTCTGATTGGAATTTTTTTTTTTTTTTTTTTTTTGGTACCACTTTAAATTTGCTTGCACAGAGCAGCAGCAAAGGGAGTAGATGTTCTATTCTAGGGTGTAGGGCTGTCTTGTAGGTGGAATCATTTGTGGGCTAAAGCTTTTGCTGGCTGGGTTCTTCCACGAGCCCTCCCTGCAGAAGGAGGAAATCGTCACACAGGTCCTAACATCGAACTGCCCCCCGCGAGCCTCGCTTCCCCCGCAGGCGTCTTCGGGACACACATTTCTTTTATTAACTGGTTTTGGAGGATCGCCCTCAGGATGCGCGCGGCGGTCTGGGACAGGCAAGCGCCCAGGGGTGGCAGGAGGAGGAAAGGCTATGAAGGGTCTCGGAGGCGCCCCGATGGCTCTCCCAGGTGCCGGGCACTCTCAGGCGGGACACTAACTCTCAAGTCACTTGCCACCCTGACCCCTGCGCGGGCCGGGGCGCGGCTCACGTCCAACGGCCCTCGGTCCCCCCGGCCAGGTGTGGCCGCCCCGGGGCCGTCGGCAGCAGCTCGGTGGGGGCGCGCTCGGTCCCCCACATTCGCAACCCCGTTCGCGTGTGCGCCCCTCCTCGCCTCACCCTGCTGTTCTCCCCGTGGACAGCAGGGCGGACGGACACACACAAAAAAAGAAAGTTGCCGGCCGGCTCCGGTGCCCTCGGGGTCTCGGCGCGGCCGCCGGCCCCGGGCGCCACTCACCTGGGTCGAAGTCGGGCACCGCCGCCTGGTACTGGGGGCCGACTCTCATGCCGCCGCCACCTGCGGGGAAAGCAGAGCAGAGGGTCAGCGGGCGGGGACGGGACGGGACGGCGGGGGGGACCGGGGACCGGCGGGGCGGCCGGCCACCTACCGTGTTCCTCATCGCTCGACGAGCCCGAGCTGCCTTCCTCCCAGGAGTTGCTGCTGCTGTTGCCATTGGGCGCCGCCGCCGCCAAACTTTTATTCTGGCCATTATTGGGGGCGGCCGAGGCGGCGGTGGCGGCGGCAGCCGAGGCTGGGGCGGCTGAGGCGGCCGAGGCGGCGGCGGCAGAGGCAGCCGCGTTGTTTCTCCCTCTCCGCTTCCCTGAGACCTCGGGGCCCTTCTCCACCATGGCCGGCATCGGCGGGGGCCGGGCCCGGGCGAAAGTGGCGGGGAGAGGCGGCTCCTGAGGAGGGGGCGCCGGCCGGGGGGGAGGGGGCGCGAGCGGGCCGGGGCGGACGGGCGGGGCAGGAGCCCGCGGACGCGAGTTAGGGCCAGAGGTGGCCCTGGCGGGCAGAGCGCGGAGCCGCTTCAAGCCCCCCGCGCCGAGCCGAGCGCAACTTTCGCTCCCAGCGCCTCCCGCACTTCACGGCTCTAACTACTCCGGGAGCAGCGAGCGGGAGGGGGGAGGGGCGGGGCCTGGGCGACGGGGGAAGCCGCGCGCAGCCGAACCCGACGCCGGAGGGCTCCGCCCCCCTTGCGTTCCCATTGGCTCTCGTGGGATTTGGACGGCCATCGGCAGCGCGGTTGGTTCTCCGCTCCCGTCCGTCTGGGGGACGGGGAGGGGTGTGCGAGTAGAGGGAGGTCTGGGCTTCCGTTGGTCAGGTTCGGTTGACGCGTATCGCCCGCTGTACGTGGTTTGAGGTTTGCAATCTCTCTACGCCCCATGATCCATCTCTCTAGGCAATAGCGAGGAGTTAGCTGCCCTCCCCGCCCCCTCCCCTCCTCGACGGCCCCCAGCCTCCCACCTGCGTACACCCCTGCGGCCTCTACCCCCGCATTCCCCAAAGGACCCCACTGAGAGTCACAACGGCTCGGAAAAGTAAAATACATCCGACTCGAGAGCAGAAATAGAACACAAGGTCGGGACTACTTTCCCCCTCTCGCGGAGGACTACACTCCACAGTTTGAATGGGATCTATACAAAGAGGGGAAACTAATTGCACCCCCACCTTTCCCAAGGGGCTCCGGGCTGTTCCCAGGTCCGGGGGAGCCATAATGCGAGGGAACCTGGCTCCCAGATGAGAGTCTCCCTTAGAGAGAAAGGAAGCTGTGTAGGAGCTCTGGATGTGGTGCTCTTGGCTAATTGGGCGGTGGGAGCTTGTAAGTCGCGAGCCCCACTGGCTCGTGCGCCGCCCCTGCGGGGGCCTGAGGGGAGGAGTCCTCAGCGGCCCGAGGCCCCTACTAGGACGTCGTGTCCTGGGCAGCGAGGACGACTCAAGCCATTCTGGATGGCCACTTAAGAGATGAATGAAGGGGAACGAATTGTCCGGGGGGAGGGGGACTTAGCGAAATGGGCTGGGGGCCCGGGAGGGTAAAGAGGAAGAAGCTCTTTCTATCCGTAGCCCTGGGTAGAGGAGGAGGGTCAACTTCCTCCCAGGCAGAGCCACTTTTCCGGATCTACTGCTGGCCCTGCCTCCTCAGCTCACCCTGGCCCCCCAACGAGGAAGAGCCAGGCGGCACGGAGGGGGTGGGGGTCGGCCAAGACCCATCCTGACCATCTCCCTGCTCTGGAGAGCGACCCCCCGGCGGGCCAGGGCCTGCTTTAGAACTAGATGGGGGTGGGGAAGAGTGTGACTCCTTTGGGAGGCCCTTGTCTCCCCACCCCCACCAAACCCCCAAAACAACGCACTGTTAATTAGGAGGCGAGAGATCTAGAAATATGAAATCTTGAAAAAAAAAAAAAAAAACGAGGATGGCTATTTCAAACCTGAGCTTTATATGGGGACAGTTTACACCAGCTCAGGATATAAATAGCTACAGGGAGAAATCTGGAGTTTTACGGTTTTAAAGCCTGAATAAATAATCAGGGTTTTCTCTTCCACATTTTCTGCAGCATGAACCGTCATTATTAACTTCATTGACGTGATCACGTTCACTTAGGCCGAAGAGGCCTTTAAGAAGCAGAGCTGGGCGCCCTGGCGCTGGAGGAGCCCTGCCCCCACCGAGTGCAGGGTGGTGCTGCCCGCACCGGACACTCTTCTTGCAGAGCGCTGGGTACTAAAGGTGTATGTCCCTAGGATGCTCCCCCAGCTGGCCTGGGTGGGGGCGCACACTGAATGCCACCGGCGGGGAGCCGAGGGTGGCATTCCCGGCCTCACCGAGGGCCCTGCCCCGAGACGTGATTCATCTGCTGAACACCGCGTGAGGAGCAAGGTTAGGAGCGCTCTGCTCTGCTCCCTTGGTGTCTACCAAGACCTACCACCGCACTCCGGAGAGGTCAACCTTCAAGGACACAAAGGTCATATTGAACCATTTATTAGGGCAGCAGGAAAACACATGGAGTCCCCTCACCCCACCCACCAACACCCAAGGTGGGGGCCACTGTCTGGCTGGGTGACTGTGGGTGACCATGCAACTTTTTCAAATATATATTGACACCTAACATGGGCCAGGCCCTGCTCTCGGCTGTCTTGACTCCAAAGCCTCACACTAATACTGCATTAGCCAAGAACTCCTTTAAGGCTCAGCTTCCTTGAACCAGTATGTTCTGTAAACTTTCAGATCACAATAAAAAGTTTAAAAAAAAAAAAAAAAAAAAACAGCTTCCTCATTCTAAAATGCAGGTAATAATATTTGTGTCCCATTCTGGTGGATTTTGAGAGTCCAGCTACCCTGCCCCACTCTCCCCTATCACTGGGAACCCTCAACCTGGGTGGAAACCCCCCGTCAGGCCCCTGCCCATTGCTGGCGGGAGGGGCGTCCACACACAACCGGCGGATCTCAAAGTGGTGCTCGCACAGCCAGCAGCCCCACGGTGTCCGTCGGGGAGCCTCTCCCACGCGCGGAAACAGACTGCACGCCTTTCCCTCTCTCCTTACACCTCCTACGGCCCCTCCTGCCCCCGTTCCCAGCTAATGGCCTCACCACACTCTTCAGCAGGAAAATCTGAAGCTATCAGATGGGATCGCGTTCATCTTCCAGTCCCCAAGCTGACAAGGTTCCGCGCTGCTCCCACCCCCTCCTCGGGCCTTCCTACCTCCTCAGCCCACCCCTGGCTGCTCTCCTGCGGCTCGGCCTCGCCCCTTGCCCTGGGTGAGCCCATCAGCAGATGCCTGTTGCCTGCACCTTCCAAACACGGGGGAAATCTTCCTTTGCTCCCAAGCCCTCGCCGGTTTCTTCCCCTTTCCTCTACTCCCCCCACAGACAACCTCCTCCAAAGCCTTGTCTACACTCCCCTCCTCACGCCCACCTCTCCCAGTCTCTCCTGCCGCAGCCCTCAGCTCTTGCTAAGGTCACCCACAGCCTCAGCAGCATCTCGGGAGTTCAGCACTTCTTCCAGAAACTTCTGTCATTTCTGCGTTGTCTGGACACCGCTCTCAGCTGGTTCTCCTCCTCCCTCCCTGACCTACCTTTTCGTGTCTCCTTTACAGCCTCCACCCCTCCTTCCAACTTGTAAATGTTAATGTTCCTCCTGGGCCTGCCTTCCTTCTCTGTGCCTGGCCCATTGCAGGTGTTCAGCAAGTACTTGTTGAGAAATGAATGAACGATAGGGACCACGGGGTGCTGTGGCTGTGGAAAGCAAGAGCCTAGCTCAGTCTGAGGAGTGGGGAGTGGCATCCACCTAAGACCTGAAATACTCCCATAAGAAGCAACTTCTAGTTTTGCCCGCCCAGCGTCTCCCCAGCGGAGTCCCGGCCAACACTGTCCCTTCACGTGTTTTGCATGCGGCTTCCCATACACTGAGCACCCAAGACACAGCTCTGGCCAAACCGAGCTCTTCTACCACAAATTGCGGGGATTGGCTGAGGGATAGGCACATGACCTAGTCAGGCCAATCAAGGCTCCCCTGGAAGTTTTGGGCCCCTCTTAAGAAGGGAAGGGGCTCCGGTGGCTAAGGCATTTGACCACTGACCAGGTGGTTAGCGGTTCAAACCCACCAGGAAGGTTGGGCAATGTACTTCGTTGAGATACCGCCTCGCAAACCCAAGGAGGCGTTGCTATGAGTGGGCTCCCACTCGACAGCAGTGAGGGGTGTTTTTTGTTTGTTTGTTTTTGAGTTTTTAAGAAGGAACCTCTCAGATCCGAATGGGAGATCCTGGATACAGTGGAGGAGGGGAAGGGAATGTGGAATGAAACTCAAAATCGTTTAAAAAAAAAAAGACCAGGTTTACTGGGCTGATACAGATTGGTGAAACCCCTGAGACTCTAGCCCTAGTCAGCCTTCAGGTCAGGGGTCGAGAGCTCATTGGCATGGCTTAAATTCCAGGCAAACAATAGGCTTATGAAGTGACAGATTAGACCAGGGAAATGCACTCCTTATAACAATCAATCATGGGAGATCAGAAGGGCAGCATTTGCACAGGGAGATAGCTCAGAGGGCGGGAATGCATAGGAAAGAAGGACACAGGAAAAAGGTAACCACAGTGAGGAAGTGGGAAGAGAGCTGCTGCTTAGTGGGGCTTGCAATTAACGTCATGAAACAATGTGTATGAACTGTTGAATGGAAAATGAATTTGCTCCGTAAACTTAAGTGCCAAATCACAATTCAAAAATTTTTAATTAAATTTTTTTAATTTTAATTACAAATTAAAAAGAAAGAAGAAGAAGAAGAAGATGCCCATATCCTAATCCCTGGAACCTGTAAAAACAAAACCAAAAAAGGAGAAAGAAAGAACCTCTCCCTTTCTCAGATCAGGACATAAAATCCCAAAACTCATTACTATCAAGTCTTTCCCAACTATAAGGACTCTGCAAGGACAGAGTAGAACTGCCCTAGGGTTTTCAAGGCTGTGAATCATGGCAGAAGCAGACTGCCTGATCTTTCTCCCACAGAGTGTCCAGTGGGATGGAACCACCATCCGTCAGCAGCCCAGCACTTCAGCCACTGACCACCAGGGCATGCTGTTGCTGTTAGGTGCTGTGGAACCAGGCCACACTCACAGTGACCCCATGCACAGAACCGTCCTCACCATCGTTGGCTATGTTTGAGCCCATTGTTGTCACCACTGAGTCGATGCTTTCTCTTTTTCACTGACCTCTACTTTACCAAGCATGACGTCCTTCTCCAGGGACTGGTCCCCCACATCCTTGCCAAAAGCTTTAACCACTGCACCACCAGAGCTCCTTTCTTAAAGCACACCGTATCGCCTTGTTCTGTTTGAACGACTGCCTCTTGGTCTATGCACAGGTTCCTCGTAA